AGTGACCACGTGGACTCATCTGCACTACAGTGTATGCATCCACCCAAAGAACAGCTTGGCCACTGAGCTTCCAGCTTTCTGTAATGGAGTACAATCAGTGCCCAACAAGAAATCACCCTTAAACAAAACAGGCAAAAAAGTGGTTTTATGTATCAATGATGATAATAATAATTATAATAACAATGATAATAATGACAAGAAGAAAAAATGAAAAAGAATTCAAATGGACTCCCTGCGGTTGGAAGAGCAATTTAGAAACTGTAATTGTGGCGTTGATGATGTTACACATGAAAAACTAAATAAACAGAATAAAGGAAATTTAGTCATTTTCAGTGTAAATGTGAGCAGCCGTCCCTCTGGGCCTTTGGTCCCAACAGCTTTGTGTATTTTCCCTCGCAGAGAAGCTGGCAGCAGCGCCGGCTTCTGCAGAGGGTTTTTAGCCGAGTGGGATAATAACACACATTATCTTTCACCACGTGTTGAACCTCAATCCTGGCGGGGAGCAAGTGCGCATTATGGCTGCTCGCTCGGCCTTAACCAGACTCCTACAGACAAAATTAGTGACTTATTTTTGAGACGTTTGATGAATTATGGTGTGAAATGGTGGGAATGTAAATGGTCCTTGTAATCACACTTTCACTGCAATGATTTTATAAGAAACAAAGTGGGGCAGCGAAAGCGAGCTGCACGCCACGGGAGGCCGAGCCAGCTGTGGCGCCTACAGTAACCCAGTTTAGTGAGGTCACTCCAGGTCACATCTGCTAATGCCAGAGGCGAGCCAAGAAGATACGACTGTCTCAGACAATGGACCGAGGGGCGGGGCTGCAGGAAAGTCAGAACGACCTGACTTTCCCCGTTCAGGTGTTCTGCAGACGAGCTGCAGCGAGCAGGCGAGTCCACGTAAGCAGACTAGGAAGAGAAATCAGATGCAAAGCGTCTGAACCAGAGTGCATCAAAATGCTGCCGAAGCCTGCAGGTTCATCCTGAGCTCGCTTTTATCTTTAATCGTCTTTAAGATATTCATGTTCAAACGCTGCCTTTTGTGCGAAAGGCACAAAAAACATTTTAAAAATCGATTAATTGAGATAAAATGATAAATTTTTAGTTGTAACAAATAAAATAATCTGCACACAAACTGGTAGATAGATAATATTATAATCTGTAGCTTCTGTGTGTCGGCTCAGACACGTTTACTTCATAGTTCGGAGTCAGTGACGATTGAAGTGGGTGCAAACAGTGTGAACATTCAGCTGTAGTGGTTTCACAAAGGTAAACTGGTGTTGACACAGACACACATTCATGTTCACTGGGTTGGAGTTCAGCAGAAAAATGTGTTTTTTACTTTAATTTCCACAAATGAAAAGAAACCCAGCCGGACGCTTTATCGTGAAACGCTGAGCACGCCGGCTCATTTCAAGAAGTTATAGCTATGGGGCAGAACTGCTGATATACAGCTGTGGAATGTGGTGTGTGTGTCCCAACACCCTGTGGCTGTGAGTGGGCTGCTTCAGTCAAGTCCTGACAGGAGCTGCAGAGCCG